CAACTTCTTCTCTCCACTTCCTCCACTAAAACAGATATCTTGATGCCAGGAATCGAAATGTGGCTGCATGTTCTGCGTGGGTAATCTCACTGTCAGGGAAGCATCCGGCCAGTCACATTCCTGTTTCTCACTCTCTGCTCAGAGCGGCCTTTGCCCAGCCCATGATAAAGGGTAGAATTAGTAACTATAAAGATAGCCTGAGCAACAGAGCCAGGGTAAACAATTTGAGCCTCAGAATGAATTTCAAAAGAGAATAGAGAGCTAAATTTATCAAATTGGGAAGTGCATTATTCATCTTTAATTTACAAGGTTAAAATCACTTTTTCAACATTTCTTGAAATTGATTCTCCTTAGAAGCTGCATTTAATATCTTTATCAACATCAGTTATGATTCACTTATGCTTAATAACTTTTGTCAAGGATATTTTCAAAAATTTTTTTTTTTTTCTTTTTGTGGAGATTTGAGAGTTGGGAAAATACAGTAATTTACAAATACTGATAATAGAGGCTCATAATCATTAAATTAAAAGCAGATTGTCATTATAGTTAAAAGTCTACCAAATTAAATTTTGCCTTTTAGTATTTGCAGAGTCTATTAGGAGATTTCTCTCTATATAGATGTAATATTCCTATTTAAAGTAATCTCTTTTTAAAAAGAATACAAAACTAGGACTTTTCAGTTTTCTTGAGCCACTGGCATTATCATTTTATCACTTTTCATAGCCTCAGAATTTAAGATTAATGTTTGGTTCATTCAGACATGTTGGATTACTTCATATCTTTGGTTTTCTCTTTAGAATACCTCCTCTCCTTGATTGTGACTGTAAATTAGCCAACGTTTTCATTGTTTCCCATTTGTATTGTTACAGTAGTCTTGCTTTTTAATCCTATTTTATTTACTGTCATCAGATTAATTTTCCTGAAATATTCCTTTACTCATTTCTCATTTTTATTTTGGTACATTAATTGGTCTGTGAGATCAAGTTCAACTCAGTTTTTATAGTTCTGATGCCCGATGTTTCTGTTAGAAACGTTTATCTAATAGCAGGACATCGTATAAGCAGGGCATTCCATATGTGAAAAACCCATTAGCTAAAAATTGTTCATGTTTATTTTTGCTTGGCTTTTAAAAGTATACTTAGAACTATTACCCCAACCTTTTTAACCAGCCACTTTATAGTTCCTTAGAATTTGACTTTTTCTTCATACCATTCTACTTGTGGTGTTCCATAATTGTTTCCAATGGCCTTTTCTCAGTTTACCTCTCTCCCTCTGGTTTATTTGTACCTGAGTTGGAGAACATAAAGCATAAATATGAGAAGGTAGTCTACAATGTTAGATAAAATCTCTAGGGAGGGAGAGATTGACTTGGATCAAGAATTTGGCTTGGGTTTTAAGTAGGGTGAATATATGACTTGGTCTGCCAGGAGCAGTTCCAGTTTACTCCTTCTGTCTCAGCAGAATTACTAATAGCGCCCCTTTTTACTCTCACAAGTGTTGTGGCTTGGGCATCATATATGGTCTTCATAGTTTTAAAGACAGTGTGATGTGCTGCTTGTCATTTGTCCCAAATAGACTACTAAATGGATTTGCTATTCCTTTTAGCCACTGGATGGCACAATTGCTTCCTGTTTTTCACTGGGTTCAGGAAGATATTAGTTTGTTTTCTAACCACTGTTTTGTATGCCTTTCTGTTGAGCATCCGTGGTCTTTTTATAACCTCCTTAGCATATGATACTCCCTCCATAGACCTTTGCTTAAACCTGGGAATGGCACCCAGAAGAGTTTTCATTGTTTTAACTCTCTCCAAGCTTAAGAATATTAATAAATATAAATGCAATTATTATAACAGTGAAAAGAATTATTAAGTGCTTGTAGGTGAATTATAAACTCCTGATTTAGTCTGACATTTATTCAGATGTCTGTGATAAAATCTGTATTCTCAGCCTGTTGCCATTCTTAGCCTTTTTTACTGTATTCATGGTTGATATTTGCTCTTTCTTCCTAGTTTTACCTTGAAGGGAATTTTTAAAGGAGACACTGGAAACTGATCTCATAGCAGAAACCAAATAATCCTCATTTAATGAGTACCTGCTTTACATTTAGCTATTCCTCTGAGTCCTCTGCCAGTATCTTACCCTGCACTGTTGTGAAATAGACCTAGTTAACAACTTTGCTAAGAATAGGAATACATGGTTATCTTACAATGGCTTTAAAGAGAAGTTTTCTCTGCCTAATTCAGATACTTTTGCTTAGGTAGGAAGCTGGAGCTTGTTTGAATTTAACTCATTTGCTGAGGGTAAGACGTTATAAAAAAATCAAATAATAAATACATAGCAGCTGAACCTACTACTGAAAAGCAAAACTTCATTTTAGTTCCTTGGAGTCTGATTTTCAAGTGGGGTGGAAATTTTCTATTATGCCATGTATAGCAGAGTGCTTTTTAATGAAACTTCACATAAATACGTTTGAATTTTAAACTTTTCTATTATGGTCCTTGAGCCCTTTTATATAAAATTGAAATTATACTATAGGTTTTATTTTAAGCTATTAAATGAGACTCGTTTTGAGAAAAGAAAAATGGTTATATACTGTGTTATTTTTAAATCTGTCAAGTTTATCACTTTTGGTAACAGTTCTCCATTGTTTATTATAGGTCATCATTTTCTGGATGGAAGTATTCAGTTAAAGAGTGGTTGATGAGTGATGTGGACTATTTGAGCTTCTTATTTTCTACACTTACAGGTAACCATATTCTTTTGGCAGGTTAAAAAAAGGAAAACACCTAGTGTGAATAACAGTTCTCCTTCTAAGATTTGCTGTCTTATTTGTTTGGTTCTCAGTTTTGAAGATAAATATTCTATCTTGGAATGATTTTTACTATGATTAATAAGTGGAAATCTTTGAAGAAATATTTGTACCCTACATTGTCAGGCTCCTGAGGCAGGAAGATGGATGATTCCTCTTTAAATATCTCATAGTACAAGTACCAGATACTTGAGGATTATTTGAATGCCACGTGATTATATTTTTATTTCCTTCATAGTTTTATTGCTATTCTCATCATTGTTTATAGTGAATTGTACCTAATTGGCTCTTTCTAAAATAGCCAGAGAGAATCTCATTGCATACTTAAAAAAATTGGTGAACAGAATATCCATTTTTAAACATGTTTAAAATGTTGAACCTGATACCTAAATAACACCAGATTTTGATTAGTTGTTTTCTACATTCCATTTGCTCCAAAAACAAAATTGCTAAAAAGAGTAGAAATGTTTTAAGTAAGACGTATTAGTATTATTACTATTGTTTTAAATACTTGTACTATTTCAACATTTCCATTTTATACTTGGATGATGATGAGAGTCTTTGAGATTATCTGAAGACTTGAAATTAGGAGAGTTAATTAATATATTGTCAGAATCCAAAAAGAACTTAACTGGTTCTAATACTAAGCTGAATCTAACAAGATAAATATTTCAAGTAATAAATGTAAGCTCCTGCATACTTATTTGATATTTTTGTTGGTATGCATTTGAGATGGGAGGGGGAGCCTTTATGTTTTAATAATAGTACCTGTCAAAAAGTTTCTAGTGACTTTAGAAAGCTCATTAGCAGTCAGTACTATGATACGACTATGAAACTAGATGATGCCTCTTTAGGCTGTGCTTGTGGATGTATAATGATCTGAACATCAAAGCAGATAGCTAGGGCTGGGCCATAAGCAATGGTATTCTGAGCATTCTGAAAGCCACCTTTCAGGAGCGACTTTGACAAGTTGTCCGTGTAGGTTACGCCAAGTGGAATGGAGATGGTAAGGGAATCAGAAATTTTGTTGAAGGTGCTACGTGCGTATTGTCAAAATAAAAAAAAAGACTTAGGGGGATAGAGCAGTTTTCAAACATTTGAAGGGCTATTATATAAGAATGTAAAGCGATACATATTTAATATTAACATGAAGGAGTATATTATTGCTTTTAGTTGTTCATTTGCTTTTTTAAAGTCTACCATTAATTGGAAAGATTATGCCTTTTACTTCCTTTTAAAGTAAAAGTGGTAAAACCTTAGTAGAAGGGGAAACCTTTTTTTTGCTATATTATAGATTGGGTCAGATCACATCCTTTGTGTATATAATTATGAATTTAACTGCCTCCATTGCTAGCATTTTATTTTTTAAAATATTACATGAAATGCAGAAGCTTAGAGAAAACAAGGCAGCTTTGAAGAAGGGTTTGTACATGTCATCTCTTTAAAAATTATGAAGAATATTGCTGCTTTGTGATGTATTTATGTTTTTCATTGGCTTTGTTACCTGCTTTAGGGTTTTCAAAAGAGGAGTTGACTTGGCTTCAGAGCCTTCGAGGAGTTCCTCATGTCATCCAGACGCAGCTTTCCCCTGTGCTTCTCTACCTTACTGACTTGGAGCAATTTTTACACCACTGGGATGTAACAGAGGTAATAGCACATTTAAAAAAAGAAACTGGTAATTATTAAAATTCTGTTCTTCAACCACCAATAGTTACTATACATTAGAGTTGCCTTGCATGAGACCTTAATTTTAGAGGTACAGAGTGGTATAATAAGACAGGATATCTGTTCTGAAAGCGCTTATTATCTTGGATAGGAGATGTAAATTTATAAAGGGCAGTGTTTTTCATTATAAGTTATGCCACTAGAATGGAACAAATCAGCAGTTGGAATGACAGAGATAATTTTATTTATTTTTTATTTATCGTAGGGTAGATCCATCTTTTTAAAAGGGAAAGCTTCATGGAAGTGGCGTAATTTCATAATTTAACTTAGTGAGGGATGGATAAGATTTAAGTTGGAATTGCTATCCTTTCCTTTTTTTTTTTTTTTTTTTTTTGAGACAGAGTGTTGCTCCGTTGGCCAGAGTAGAATGTTATGGTGTCAGCCTAGCTCACAGCAACTTCGAACTCCTGGGCTCAAGCGATCCTCCTGCCTCAGCCTCCTGAGTAGCTGGGACTACAGGCACACACCACCACACCCAGCTAATTTTTCTATTTTTAGTAGAGACGGGTCTCACTCTTGATAAGGCCGGTCTTGAACTCCTGACCTCAAGCAATTTCAGCCTCCCAGAGTGCTAGGATTATAGGCATGAGCCACTGTGCCCAGCCGGACTTGGTATCCTTGAAGGTGACTTATATTTATTTATTTTTTTGAGACAGAGTCTTACTCTGTTGCTCAGGCTAGAGTGCCCTGGCATCAGCCTAGCTCACAGTAACCTCAAACTCCTGGGCCCAAGCGATCCTTCTGCCTCAGCCTCCCGAGTAGCTGGGACTACAGGCACGTGCCACCGTGCCCGGCTAATTTTTTCTATTTTTAGTTGTTTGGCTAATTTCTTTCTATTTATAGTAGAGACGGGGGTCTCACTCTTGCTTAGGCTGGTCTCAAACTCCTGAGCTCAAGTAATCCTCCGGCCTCGGCCTCCCAGAGCGCTAGGATTACAGGTTTTAGCCATTGTGCCCAGCCTAAAGGTGACTTTTTTTTTTTTCTTCACACTGCATTTTATTTAATCTTGTGCATTAAAACAAAAAACCAGAGCAGTTAAGAATCTAAAGGCAGTCTTCAAGAGTTTCTAATCATTTGGCCTCTGCTTCCTTGCCAATAATATACTATTTAGCACTTTTATTTTGCTTTACAAATCTTATCTAAGTCATTATTTAAGTCCATTTTGTGCTGCCATAAGAGAATATCTGAGGCTGGGTAATTTACAGTGAACATAAATTTATTGGCTTAACAGTTCTGGAGTCTGGGAAATCCAAAAAATTGCTAGCATCTGTCAAGGGCCTTCTTGCTGCATCATCCACGGTGGAAGGACAAAGAGAAGGTGAATGAGCTGAAGGTGACTTTTTAGACGAAAAATTATTCACCAGTTCCTTTGGTCTTAAGAATTAATATATAGCTTATTAGAGTTCAATTTAAAACCCTAATTCTTCCTTAAGTTTTAAAGTTCAGATTACAAATCTTATTTTTTTTAAATAAAGACAGTAAATTTAAATAATAATTTTAAAGGGGGACTTTGATATAATTTTATTTCTTTTACAAAGTTAGTTCAAATTTTAAAGTGTTTAAATAACCTTAATATATTCAGTATTGGTTAGTTACTTCAGTTTTCTGACAGATCTTCACAAATATTACAATTATAGTAAATCTTACAGCTACCTAATAAATTAACTTAATAAATACGGTAAATCTTAATATCTTATGTTTTAGTACTATTTAGTAAAACAGTGAAACTTCACATTAAAACTGTAAGTCTAAATTAATTATTGACTTTTTAAAAAAGTTGTTTTGTTTTGTTTTTAGAGGCAAGTTCTCAATATATTGCCCAGGCTGGCCTGAAACTTCTGGGCTCGAGCAATCCTCCTGCCTCAGTCTCCCAAGTAGCTGGGACTACAGGTGTGTGCCACCACGCCCAGCTACTGACATATTTTAAGTTGGAATTACAAGGCTGATCTTTTCCCTAATAGGCAAAATTGTCTTTAATATTACAAATACTTAAATACACAAAAATTTCATTACTAGGTTAGTTAATTAACTTCTATTCTTTTTTTCTTAAATTTCTTCCCTTGCATTTAAAGGTGCTTGTCCAGTAAGAATTTTGGTTTTAATCTTTCATGCAAAATCTGAGTTTATGTCCTCTGCTGGGTGATATTTTTTTTTTTTAATGATCCAAGAGGCCTCTGGCCAGGACACTGACTATATTCTTTCCTGTAACCCTCAAATGCTAGGCCAGAAACCTTGGGTTTTGGGGCTTTTTTTTTTTTTTTTTTTTTAACCTTTTTGGCAATATTCTCAACAGAGTAGTCTCTAGATTCAAGTTACAACCTAATTCTTCTGTTTGTTGCTATACCAATTGATTTTATTTAATTGATAAATTTATTTCTATTACGAATTTGCTTGATGTTCTTCCTATCTCTAGGGACTATATCATTTATAGATATTTAACATATTTCTTTCATGACTTTGTTTGACTCTAGTCAATGACATTTATCCTCTTTTTATTACCTATAGTACCTGGTACTGTGTTTACTTATAGGTTTTGAAATCATATGTTCAGTTTAGGCTTTCAGCTTTCCTCTATCTCTCAGGCTCCATATGGTGACTTGTAAATCCTGAGGGAAGCTCACATTCTTATGGTTACGGCACCACATGCAACTTCTTAGGTGAGAGACTTGGGGAGGAGAGTTCAGGTGTTTTCATTTTCTCATTTTCAAATGAAAGAGGATGTTATGTTACAGTATGATAAACCAGTTTTCTACAAAGAACAGTGGAGAATGGCAGTCAGAAAACAACATGTAGAATGTAGTTCTGCTCATTGCTATTGGATGTTGCTTCTTCCATATGCACTTAGTGAACAGAAATCAGGAATTCAACACCACAGAGTTCATTCTAGTTATTTCCTGTCCCTTTTTTGTACCTGCCTTCTCTGACAGTGAGAAACCTGGCTCCCATTATCCCTAATACATTTACTTAACTTGATTGGTTCCTCTGCCTGTAATCAATCTCCCTTTGCTGCCACCCCTCTCTCCTCACTCCACTTGGACTCTAGCTTTTGGGGACACTCTGCCCTATTCATGGATAGCCTGCTCTGGGCCACCTCAGCTTTCCCACCCACTCCAGTGCCCATGTTTGCCTAGCTTGGCTCCGCCTGTATGGCTTGAGAATGGAATTGTTCAGGAAGGGAGGGGGAAGCAGAAGGGGAGAGAAGTGATCATTTATTATTGAATGGGCACTTTTCAAATGCGTTTTACCTTTTATTAATGAAAATATTTACTGTTTGCTTTGAAGTAGGAAGATGGCATTGGAAATAAGTTTTTTTCATTGTTACTTATAGGTATAAAAGACAGGAAAGGTTGCCATGTAAAAACTCTGGATAATCAATCAGTAAGAGATTTTATAGAGAAATAATGTATTGAGCTGTTGATTTTTCCCCCCACTCTCAAATCTATAAATAACAAATATAAAAAGCCTTGATTTTTGAGGGCTCATTGACAGTTCTCTTAAACTTAGCTTGACCAATGTCTTCCTAGAGTGTCTTCCACCAGTCTTACCTTTGTCTTGTGATATGATTTTTGTACATATTTCATTTCAATACTATACCAGATAGTTTGTGTTATGCCTGATGTCTGCGAAGGATTTCTGGTACTGTCCTAGACTGTACCTGATTTTTTTTTGAGAAGTTAGAAAATTAAAAATACTAGGGGTTGGGCTGGGCACGGTGGTTCATGGCTGGAATCCCAGCTCTTTGGGAGGCTGAGGCTGGAGGATTATGTGAGCCCAGGAGTTTGAGACCAGTCTGGGCAATGTAGTAAGAACCCATCTCCACAAAAAAATAAAAATCTTAGCCAGGGCCAGGTGCAGTGACTCACACCGGTAATCATAGCACTTTGGGAGGCTAAGGCAGGAGGATCACTTGAGGTCAGGAGTTCAAGACCAGCCTAAGCAACATAGCAAGACCCCATCTCTACAAAAAGTGAAAAAATTGGCTGGGTGTGGTGGCACATGCCTGTAGTCCCCGCTATTCGGTAGGCTGAGGCAGAAGGATCACTTGAACCCAGGAGTTCAAGGCTGTGAGCTGTGATCATACCACTGTACTCCAGTCTGGGCAACAGAGCAAGACCCTTCTCAAAAAGAAAAATATCAGGTGTGGTGGCACGTGCCTATAGTCCTAGCTACTTGGGAGGCTGAGGCAGGAGAATCACTTGAACCTAGGAGTTTGAGGCTTCTGTGAGCTATGATTGTGCCACTGCACTCCAGCCTAAACAACAGAGACTCTGTTTCTAAATAAAAGAAAGAAAAAAATACTAGGGGTTTTACTCCTAACTCCATTTTCTTTCCATGTAGATTTCTCGTACTTTTACCTTTAGAGAATAGGAGGCAGGATTGTGATTAAATGGAAGTGGGTATTAGTATTTTCTAGATGGTAAGTATTTTTCTATTGTACATTTCTCCACCAAGTGGAAAGAAGGCATCAGCCCTTCGTTCATATCATTCAGATCTTTCTGTTATAGCATTTAATAGAAATACAGTAAGTCCTCATTAATGTCATTTATAGGTTCTTGGAAACTGTGACTTTATGCAAAATGATGTGCAGGTCCTTGAATAACGTTTCCTAATAACATTGATTAGGAAAAAATTTGGTTTTGTTATACATTTTTTCACTTAAAGTCACAGTTTCCAAGAACCTATGGAGGACATTAAGTGAGGACTTCTGTATAGTCTCCACCTTGGTAGATTATAAGCTGTTTGAGAAGTGTGAGAAAGAAGAGTTTCTCATTCTTTGACTCCTGTACTCGGTACCTTAACAGGGGCTAGCGCAATACTCAGTAAGTGTGTAATAGATAAGTTATTTGGAAAATTAGGCAATATATGAGGTCTGATTGTTTGACTTTTGACATTTGCATCTTCAAAGTCATTTTTTGTTACGTTTCCTATTGATAATATGTAGAGCAAGTAGGTTAAAAAAAAAAAAACTGTTGAATTTGTTTCTGACCTAAAATATTCTGATTTAGTTACTGGTTTTCTCCATTTTGACAGGCAGTTTTTCACAGTTTATTGGTTATCCCTGCCCGAAATCAGAGTTTTGACATCCTGCAAAGTGCCATCAGTAAGCATTTGGTAAATATCTGCAATGTTTTTCCTCTTAAAAAAGAACACGAAGATTTATTGGTTAAGATTGAATTTGCCATAGCCACAGAAAGAGCGAGCGTGTCTGGAATACCAAGCTTAATGATAACCATGGCCTCTCACAGGATGATGTAATGGCAAGGACTGAGAACTCCTGGTGTTTTTCCCGGCTGTTACTAATTAATTCTGTGACCTTGGGAAAACCCCTTCTTTTCCCAGAACCTTAATTTCTACATCTGTAAAATAAGGGACCTTAAAATTATACCTTAGGTTCCTTCTGACTTGTAATGCTCTTATAATTCACATGTGCCTCACATCAGTGTATCAGGAATCTAGCATCCAGACTGGAGTCTAGGTTCCACCTAGAAGGTTTGGAATCCAAACTAGGGGATATCCTGTAATAGGCACAAGGCATGGTCACTGGAAGTAGTGGGCTCCTCTTGAGACAGACTTGTCGTCTGATATCGAGTGCCTCTTGTTCCCATTGGTTTTAAATTCACATTAGGTATGCCTCCATAGTTGCTTTTAACTTCCTCCAGTATTTTTATCTTTGGCTTTTTATTATAATGTATTATAGTACAAGGGAGGGCTCCCAGATTATAGCCTCCAGATACTCACTTGTTTGGATAATTTTATAGGCACATCAACACCCCGTTTTCTCTTTTAAAGTGTTACTTCTCTTAAGTTGGAAGAGAGTACTGTTTTGAATTCCTAAATACTCTTTTCTCCTGCTATCAAACTTCCAGTCCTTATCCCTGTGTCATCAAAGATGCCCACTTTTTTTCCACCTGCACTCCAGAGATTTAGGCTTTCCTTTGACTACATTCATTATTCTTGTAAAAGGCATACATGCAAGTCAGTCTTGGCCAGTATTTTCAGACAGCCTGATGGAGGAGGTTAAGGCCTTGGAGTCTGCAGATATTTATTATTTCTCAACAAATAGTTTCCAAGAGATTGAAACCCTGTGTATATATAGTTACAAGTCAGACTCAACCTTAACGATAGTGCATACAGTATAGCCTACGTGAATTAGCATACCATAATGACCATTGTCTGGCCTGCCGGGGTTTCTCGGCAGTGCAATTGTAAAATGTTAAATATGGTAATATCTCTTAGTGACTCCAGTAGTTATAGTTTCCTTATTCACGTCTGAATGACTGGCTTAATCAAAGGGCAGGGGAATGCTAATTGTAAAATGAACTGTCTACCTTTAATTACCTGGGATGGAGGGTGGTTCCAGATAGCAGAGTTTTCAACTTTGAATAATGTAAAAATTTTTTAAGTGGCATTGTTGGTATCAAGATTTTCTTTGGCTGCATGAAACAATCCC